TTCAGAGCTTACTGCACACCACTGTACGCGGGGGCTCTGTGGGCCAGTTATACCCAAGTCTCGCTCAGGGCCATGCGCACGCAATACAATAACGCCTTCAGGACGCTGATGCGGCTGCCGCGGTTTCGCAGTTTCATGGCAGTCTTGCGCAAAAGATCAGCATCTCTATTGAACAGAATTCGTGGCAGCGGTAACAGCCTCCTGAAGACAATTGCAGCTAGGTGTAAGTGTCCCACAATGCGGCATCTCATTAATAATACAAAATCTGTTCTAGAATTTAAATACTAACCTAATTATAAGTTTCATTGTTGCTAACACTTATGGATCCTAGTTACCTGAATAAATGAATTTGAATTTTTTTTTTTTGAAAATTTTTTAAAACGATTTTTTTTTTATCCCACGCATGTAGTTGAATATCAAGCTCTGAGCGGCACTGCAACTGTTATGCACAGGCGCACGACTTGTTCCTCGTGTCACTTAGCATCATAAAAAAAATTGTAATTATCTTTTTATTTACTCCGACTCTTTGAACCTATGTTATTAATTTGAAGTAACGATACACTTTCATAAAAGGTGAAATTCCTAAGGGAAATTCGTTCTTATCGGAATGAAAAATGACCCCGTTCTAATGGATTATCCACGTTAGACAAACTATAAGAAGCTTGTTTTGTACTTGCTTGGCTTTATTAATATTCACAGTTATTGTTGAACAAGATACCTTTAACTATAAGCAATTATTATTATTATAGCTTAAAGATTGAACAAACTCTAAAAAAAAGTCAATGCAAAGTCACTTACAGTGTTTTCATTAACAGCGCTCATAATATGATTTCTCTAGCTGGTTGAATCTATACCCTTACATTTCAACTTTGGAGGTTTTTGAATTAAATATTAAAAAATAAAATACAGAAATTATTTTGATATAACTCGGTACGCACTATACAGTTTTTTGGTTTGACAATTACGCGCGCGAGTGTTGCGGGGTGAGTGAGTTAGCTAAAACTCTCAAATCGCGAATAATTTAGGAGCGGGGTCTACTGACATTTGTCGTGGCTCAAATTGTAAAAATAGTAATTATTCGGGTTAGTGTTAAAAAAAACCCGACCTCAAAACTTTGCTTACGGCTTTTTTCGATTTCCATGGAATCCTGCCATCAGATTCTAACTTCTTGGTGACAATGGGAGTGTTACGGACTCCTTTGTACATTTTATATTTCCTTTTCTGGTTGTCATGATGATGGTAATTTGTTGATTACATGTATTGTGTCAAATGAAAAGTCGATATTTTATTTGCGTTAAGATAATTAAAGTTAAAATAATTAGTAATTTGTGATAGCCGAAACGATCCCAGAACAGCTTCAATGGCCACCTCGAGAGTTGACTGCCTCCGTGGCCGAACGGTTACCATGCCGGACTGCCACGCAGAGGTCCCAGGTTCGATTCCCGGGCCGGGAGAAATGTTTGTATGGCTTACATTTATTTCCCTCGTGAGTTTGGGTGTAATTTGTGGTTGTCTATGTGTGTGTCCATGGCACCCGCGACACAGGGTTTCCCTAGTGCGGGGCTATGTTGAGTGTGTGCGAGACATATTTATTATTATTATTTATTATACACTTTCAAACTAAAGAAGAATTTTCACAATCGGTGCACAATTGATGGAGATATTGGTGAATACGAGGACGTGTCTATAAAATTTGAGAATTTCCTTCGATTTTCATTGGATTCTGACTTGACGACAATGGGACGACCACCACGAGAGTGCACCCTTTCAAACAAAAAAAAGAATTTTCAAAATCGGTCCACAATTGACGGAGACATCTGAAAACAAACATCTACAGCGGAACGTATATAAACTTCTCTCTTTTTGAAGTCGGTTAAACACGACATTCTATCGTGTCAATACTGCAAGGCTTAATATTATATATTGTTATGGATTTCCATAACATAGTAAATATAGGTAAAAGTAAATTATTGATTAAAAGATAACTTAAAAAATAAAAAAATCACAATATCGAGTTTTTTGTTTTCGCGATTGTTACACATCGAAAATAAAACTATAGTTTTTGGGATCATAATCGCGTATATTTGTTTTGGTATAGAAATAGATGCGTCCTAGGAAAAGGACCTAGGCTGCTTTTTGTCACAAAAATAAATCCTAAAGGAAGTGAAATAGGAGTTGAAATTTTGTATGGAAAACCAATCATTTCTCAAGTTAGTAGCGTAGTAGCCTACTCAAAGTAATAACGCACCTATGTACGTGGACGAAGTCGCGGGCAGCAGCTGGAACTCAATAAAACATAGGTAATTAGTTATTAAAGAACAAAATTGATAGCAATAACCTGTGGTCCTTGAAGAAGTTAGTTACAGGTTTGACATAAATTACTATGTAAATCT